GCAGCTAAGGCTGCAGAGTGGAGGGGGGGGGGGTCTCCGCGACGCCTTGTGAGGAGCTCCGGGCTCCCTGTGGCCCGTCCCCACCATGAGCATAACAGCGGTTAGTCAGAGCGGGATGGCAGCAGCTCTTGGATCTGCTGCCATGTCGCTCCCCGCAGTGTTTTCGGAGGGGCCCTTTACCATCCCGAGAAGCACTGCCCAGGGCGAGCACCGCAGGTGCGGCTGGGGCCCCTCACACCCCGGGCTTGCCCGCTGGCTGCCCGGGACGGGGAGCAGCATGTGCTGCGGGAGACCCTTAGGGAATCCCGCGCTAGCAGGAAGGGACCTCTGAGACCTCCTCCTCTTATAGCTAAAGATAGAAGTTTACAAAGGCATCGGGGTGGGCACTGACTTCCTTCCCAATTGTTTTAGGACAAACAGTGAGTCACTGTCACTGGCCCTGGGCCCATCCCCTATGCACCAACTATGCAGGAGCTCAGATAAACCACCTCTTCTGAGAGGATTTAGGAAAATTTAGCATTTATCTATCCTCAAGGCCGACTACTTCTGCAAATTAGCTTTGTGTAAATCCTGGAGATTCTTTTATTATTATTCCAAGAAGCTCTTCATAACCAAGGATGAGAAGGATGCTTTGTTTGTTACTATTTAGTAAGTCATCAGTGCCAAGACAGTCGATTACAATATTTGAGTAGTTAATATAATAATACTTGGTACAATTCACAAGAGTAGTGTCTAATACATGCTGAGCATGCTGCAAACCTGTTGTCAGGTAGTTTTTTAATCTCCATTTTAGAGATGACAGAATCGAAGTTCAGACAGATACTCGGGCAAAGCTGATGTACTCAAACGGTGGGAAAGATATTTGAATGAAGCATACTGACTCCAGAGTTATTGCTGTTTCTGCCACCAATGACACTGTGCATCAGGGTGAAGGGAAGCAGTCGGCGGTGGTCGCTGCGTTCAGCCCTCGGTGGGGTGGGAAGGGCGAGTCGCAGCAGTGGAGATAAAGCGGGGCCCTGCTGGGCGGTATCCGGGCTGCGCGGCAGCTTCGCGGAGCACGTCCTTTGCAGGGGACCTTGAGGAATGTGGCCTGGCAGAGGGAGCCGCTCTGCCAGGTGGGCCGGGGCAGGCCCTGGGTGGCCAGTGATGCCGTTGTCACTCGTGATCAGGAGTGACATATGGCGACGTAGACAGAGAGGCGGCGGTGGGAACACCATCAGAAGAGTCGGGGTAGGAGGTGAGAGCTGTGGAGGCCTCAGGTGGACTGGGCGTAGGGAGGGCCTGCACCCCCACGCCGGAGAGAGAATCTCCATCAGCTTTACTGAGCCCATCGAAGCGGTGGGCCTGAAGCGGAGGGGCGGAGGGGCAGAGGGGGCCGACGCCACTTCAGGGTCTCCAGCGAGGCGGGAGCGACCACATGCCTTGGGCTTCACACATCAGGCCCCCTTCGAGTAGTAGGTCTTCGTTTTCAATTCCTTTCCGTTATCTGTTATATAATGTTGACTCAGGAAAGTTAGGGGCCTGGCAGAATGGCTGGTTGTGTTTAGTATTTCTGATCTGCAAACAGAAGGGTTAAGCCAAGCAACTCTCCAGTAAGTGACCTGTGCACTGGAGGAGCCGCTGTCCCACCGCAGGGGCTCTCTCTGCCTTTCCTTGCTACCATCTTGCTCCTCGGGGCCGACACGCAGAGTCACTCTTCAGTTGCACGTGCCCCGCCTCTGCCTGCTCACGCCCCTGGCCGGCTCTCCTAGTTCTGGACTCCAAGGGCACAGACACTGGCTTTTTCCCATTGTGACAGGGCACCCTGTCGCTCTT